CCCCCCACCCCGCGCGCCGCGAACAGATCTTCGTCGTCCAAGCTTCTCGCCGCCCTGTACTACAGGCGCCATCGTTGTTTTATCGCCGTGTTTTGCGAGCGTCGCCATCTCATCTTCTCGCCTCCTTCGACATTACTCGCCATCAAGCGTGCTCTATGTGCGCCGCCATCTAATCTCGTCGCTGCCTGAAACCTTCGCCACTGTAAACACCGACGACCTTCCTATCGTGTGTCGCGCCATCGTTTCTTCTCCCGGCCATCTGCTTTCGCCACCATCAACCACCACTCGCCGTGTGGTACGGCAAGGCGCGGAAAGATCTTCTCGCCGCCATCTCCGAGGTCGACGGATCCACGTTCTTCTTACGCGCCTTCCATTCCATCTTCAACACACGCCACGCCTTCCATTCCATCTTCAACACACGACACGCAATGTCTTCTTGCCCCGCTCCATCTCGGAGAGTTCTTAAGAAACAAGTCAGTGAAGGCGAAGTCGCACCGAAGAAAGGTCGCCACAATCCCACGAAGAGAAGAAGGGGCATCGAAGGCGGAAAGGCCGCAGTTTGGAGAGAGGTGGAGGCAGATTGGGTGGATGCACAGGAGAGACAGGAGGAGGACAACGACTTCGAAGAAGAACAGGAACAGACTTCCATGAGGAAAGTGAAGCAGAGAACGGGGTGTGCGATACGGATCGAAATGGGGGGGGTTGGCGCTGCAGAGGTGGCTCCTGTTCAGCAACAGACGCCGTTGTCAAGAGGCCACGAGCAGTGCGCCGCCTGAAATCTGCGATTTCGGGACTTAGGCTCAGGGACAAGTCCGTGTTTTGACGGTACTCTGGTATGACCAGGCAACAAAAATTAGGGGAACTCAAGGCACCCCTGATTTTGGGCAAACTGAACCTTTCGAGTAACCCCCAAAGATGGCGAAGTGGGTAGCCGCTCCCTGCACATCTAGGGACCATCATTCCCACACGTCCCGAGGCTAGACCTGGGATGGCTGGCTGTGGGGAAGCATAGCGTGTGTTGACCCCGCGGCAATGTTTTTGCAGCATATGATCGGGCTGGAGGAGCGCCTCAAATTTTATCAATTTTTGGTACCTAATTTAAATATGGGAGAAAAGATTAGGAACAGTAGGAGGGAAGAGAAAAACGTAATATTCCTTAATTCCCCTATTCTTTTGCAGCGTATAAATTTTCGGGAAATACCTCGTTATTTTACGTTTCCGGCAATGAAATATAACAATCAGAGAAAAGGCTTAAGAATGGTTAAGGAGAGAAGAAAAGAGGGAATTTCACCATTTGATTAAACTCCCTCAGAATGCATTTTTTGAGAACCTACGGCTAATTCACTATTTCAGATAATAGAGTTAAGGAAAAGGGAGAACGATTAAAAAAGGGTGGAACAAACAGGAGCTAATGATTATTCGATGCCTGGCCCGGTTTTTGCTTGGGATACCCGCCGTCGGCTCAGAACCCCGATTTGATCAAATTCCCTAAGCTCAAATTTTTTTTACTATCCCCCATTGATCGAAACTCTCTATGATGTGTCCCTTATTTACCTGATTGCTAGCCTTACTGAACCCGGCGGAACGGACGATGCCCGTATGGATATGGAGAGCGTGGGGTCGTGTTACATTGGGGCGACGGCATGATGACAGGTTCGGTATCGGAGATGTTTGAGGATCAGCTAGAGCCGGAATCGGCGTACTTCAGGTTCGGGCACCAGGGTGATTTATTTCCAGGATCGACATCATCACAACTATTTATTTCAGTTTCAGCATCATCATGACTATTTGTTACAGGATCGGAACCGTCACGGAAGCTTACCTTCAGGTCTGGAGCCACTATGACGATGTATTTCAGGTTCGGGATCCTAGTGGTGATTTATTTTCAGGCTTGGCGGTGATTTTTTTTCAGCTCCGGCACCGCTGCGGCAGACTATTATCCGGATTCGGCACCCTCGCGGTGACATGTGTCAGGTTCGGTGCCATTAAGATAATTTATTGGGGACACTGTGGTGACTTATTTCACGTACGCCGCCGCCACGGCGGCTTATTTCAGGTTTTGCGGCTTCGGGACGATTTATTTTCAAGTCAAGAGACTGCCGCGTTGGTTTGTCTCAGGCCCGGAACCTGGACGGCAGGTTATTCCAGGTTCGGTGCTATCACAGGTAATTAACTCAGGCTCGGCACCATCACTGCGGCCATCTATACCCGGTTTGGTACCACTATGGCTCGTTACAGCGGACAATCTATGAAGATTTCCGGAACGACAGGCTGCCTGAACCGGAACGGGATAACTGAGGACTAACCCGGAGGCGGCACGCCTGGGCCTTAAGGGCCTTGGTACCACGACGCCCAGTTGTTGACCCGAGGACGGTGCTCACGTACCACCCGTAATGAGCCTGTGCTGGGCCTGGTGCCGACGGTCTCGGCAGTAGAAGCAAATGTGGAATGAATACAGGGGGGAACAGAGGAGAGGTTGGGGACAGCATGCAAGGTGTACCTGGCCCACAACATAGTGGGATCCAGGCAGACCAACGGGTTGGGAGCAGCATGCAAGGCATTTCCCGCCCACGTAGCAGGCGACTAGGGGGAACTGGACATTTGGACAGCGGGGTAACCAGGGCGAAGGGGGGGGCGCACTAGAGCGGGCGACCAGTGTGACCAGGATGCGCTGCAACGGGGTGCACCAGGGGAAGCAACGGCAGGGAACGTAGCGAACGTACCTGCTCGTGGAGTGCAGTGGTTCCAAGCTGCTCATGGTCA